GGTTCTTCCGCTTCGAAAGGTTGCCGACCCCTGACCTATACCATAGACTAGATAAAAGGCGACCAAGAAAATAGGCCAAACTGAACAATCATAATCTGGAAAAATACCAATAATGCATTACAACCATCTTTGTCAGAGCTGTATTAGTAAACAGATACATCATTCCAAATATAATTTTCGTTGCGATAAACTCTAAAATACCTAACTCATTCATCAAGCAGATTAGAGAATTTATTTTCAAAAGCACAGTTAGAGACATTAGCCACAAAAGATTAATACTAAACAAATGAAGTAAAGAAATAGGGCTACATGTCGTGCATTCGAAAATAAGCACAATCCGATTATTATAAAACACCTAAATAGAATCACTTTATCATCCGTAGCACAATATTACAGACGGTTGAAAAGATAGAATATCTCTATTCACGCTGTCAAACGCCTTTTCGAAGTCGACAAAAGTCATGTTTAGGGGGGATCGCCACTCAAGGGACTCTTCAATAATGAGTTAAAAAAATATTTAAATAATAAAAAAATTAAAAAGGCACCTAAATAGAATCCTTTTATCATCCGTTTGCACAATATCAATGAGGGTTGAAAGAACGAATAGTATAAAATTAAACATCACAACACCACACTATAGGGGAAATAACATAGGCAGCTTTTAGGAAGAAACGCTAGCAACATTCCAAGTAAACAAAAGCATTATTGAGGAAGACACTAAAAAAACATATGACATCTTAATCAAACAATAAGCGACACTCTTTATAGCTATGTCGTCCATACTGCCTTAAAATATTTACATATTAAGAGTTTTATGTCCCTAAAAATGGATCCAACATGTTTATTAAAGACTACATCTAAAGTTTTCATCTGTGTTGTTGTTGTTTTTTTAGTTTAATAGATTTCTTTCCACACAGTTCTCTCCCTTCGAGCCAGGAGCTAGCTGTGTGGATAGGTTGCATGTTAAATTATACATGTAATACATAGTATTGCATACACATTTTTACAATATTATCTTCTTGATTTTCCTTCCGTTTTCTTGGTTTCATTTTTCGTGTTCTTCTGATTTCTTATTTTCATTTCCGTTTTCTTGGTTCCTTTGATATAACATAGAGCAGTGGCGTAGCCAGGATCGTCTCAAGGGGGGGTTCCAATTTTTACCCGGGGACAAGCTTTCGACTTGCACCCCCCCCCCCACCCGTCAGACTTTTGATTTTCACCCCCCCCCCCCTCAAACTTTTGATTTGCACCCCCCTCATGCTTTATATATATATATATATATATATATATATATATATATATATATATATATATATATATATATATATATATATATATATATATATATATATACCGAGGGGTTATGACCCCCCTAAATCCCCCCCCGCCCCCGCCTACGCCACTGAGAGTACAGGACAATACATGATCGCTTCTCGTATTTCTTGGCCTTGCTTCTTGCGCGTATTACAATCTTGGTTGGGCGGTGGTTGATTCTTGGTTAGTAGTTGAGAGTATCGGTGAGGGATGTTGCGTTGGTGAAAGGGCTAGTCTTGTGTCTTGTCGTTGATGGTAGAGTTGTTGGAATGGAGTGGAGCGAATAGTTGAGTTGGTGTCCTTGTGTTGAGATGTCGTTTTTAATGGGTTGCTTTGATTTATTGTTCATTGTAGTTTGAGAGAGAGTGAAGTTGTATCGTAAGGTATTCTTGCGTCGTCAAGTAGTTGAAGTGGGCGAAATACTGTTGAAGAATGTTTAATTTTCGTGATATTGCTGTGTCGAGGATTGTGGATGAGAAGAATTTGAGAGTGGTCGAGTAGTCGAAAACTTAGTCGAGTAGTTTAAAAGGGCGAGGTAAGGCTGTTGACGAGTATTTATTTTATAAGAGTTAAGTACACGTGAAGTTGTTTGAGTAGTTGATCTTTGAGGGATGTCGAGTTGGGTGTCGTCAGAGTAATCGTGAAGTTGTTGGTAGTGAACTAATTGTGTATCGTAGATGAGGAAGTTTTGCGTATTTGATCTTTGAGAGATGGTTAGTTGATTTTCTGGTATTTGTGACGGAACCTGCAACTTAAGATTTCTCCAAGGTGGGTGTCGTCAGAGTGGTAGTGAGGTTGTTGATAGCGAGGTAGTTGTGTATCGAAGTTTTGCGTAGTTGATCTTTAAGAGATGATAAGTTGATTTGCAGGCATTTGTGACGGAGCCTCCCACTTAAGATTTCTCCTAGATGGGTGTCGTCAAGCTGAAAAATAGAGATTGAAAATTAGCCACTCGTACATTTGATGCCACCCAATACAAGTACTGGTTGACTCATCTCGAGGGCATGTGCACTTTGAGGGATGTGTGGGCGCAACCCCACAGCGATCGATGGCGAGATTTGCAATTGATTGCTTGATGAGTTGAGTAGTAGATTGACCGCCTCTCGACCCCGGCAGCCAGCCCTAAATAGGGCTGACCAACCAAATGACGAAGATTTATGTAGATCCATAACAGATACTACACTTTGATCTTGGCCAAAAGGCCGCGAATGTTGTTTTTTTTTTTTAATACTTTTAATTGCAATTTAAAACAAGTGCAACAACATCAACATATTTTACATAAATTCAAATGTTCTTATTAAAAAAAAACATATCAAGATGAATTTACAAATGTAGCCTATACATTTTTTTTTTACTAAATTTTATCATCTAATGAAACATTTTTTTTTACAGTTGAACGTATTAATAATAAGTATGTACATGGTTATCATATATGTTGTTCTATACGTTGTTATACAAAATTTAAAGGGATAAGCCAGGGGTCGGCAACCTGCGGCTCTTTTGATATCAAGATGCGGCTCTCCAGCTCCTTGAACCAATACTAATACTCTTAATAAAAAAAAAATATTTGAAATAAAAAAATGTTAGTGGCTCTTTAAAACCAGGGAAATTTTGAAAATTGTAACTTTTGGCTCTTCCGCTTCAAAAGGTTGCCGACCCCAGGGATAAGCAATAAAAAGGGTTAATGTATATTTTTTCCAAAACAATTTTATAAACTAACTGATGTGTAATGATAAAAGAGAAACATAGATAACTTGTAAATTTACAGTTTTCATTTTAACATTGTATTGTGCATTTTAAATTAAAAACTAAATTATTACTATTTCATCTAGAATTCTTAATTTGTTCTGTATTGTTGGATTATAACAAAAATAAATGTATTATTTTCATGCTATTTTGTTTAAAGTTCTGCATCTTTTCTGTTAGATTAGATGTATTACGCAAATAAATGTGTTACTTTCTAGCTATTTAATTGTTTCCCTTGATTTTATTAAATATCTTCATGGGAGGTTACTAATGGTTAAAAATTATGTCTCATAGCAAAGTAGATCTTACGCCATTTTTTAAACAAGTTATTTAGAAAGTTACGATTTGTCATCCAGATATCCCAGGTTTATTAGCGTAGGCTAGGGGAAATTGACAAAGGAAATGTCAGCTCAATTATGACCGAAACGTCATTTGCATTGGCTTTTACGGGGGGGGGGGGCTTTAAATTTTTGGAGGGATGGGCGGACACTGGTAAAGTATAAGTTTTCAATATAAATTCCATTTCATTCGGGGTGGAGCGGTAGTCTTTCTTCGGGGTAGCCTTCTTCTTCCTCCCCACGTGATGTCTGGAAGAAACACTGCCTTCAAATCACCAACATTCCACTGTTTCTGACCAACCCGTAACGCTCGCTTGATCACTACTGCTCGTCTGTCACTTGTGACAGTTCATCTCATTCTGATTGGTCCGTCTATTCGATTGGCTCTTACTTCTTGGTTCTGCTTGACTCATTTCCCAACCTCTACGTTTTCTCCTTTCATTTGAACCTATTTCTAAATACATCTTACTTAGCTTCACACAAGAAGTCAATAAAAATGTCTACCTACTACAGATAGGACACAACTTAACTACTCCAGTAAGGAAAGAACCAGTGTTTCTTCCAGACTTTTTTCTCCGGGGGGGGGGGGGGGGGCACTTGAAATGTTTGGGGGGGGGGGGCGGTAGATTTTCTTCGGGGGGGGGGGGGGGGCGGACACTGTTAAAAGTATATATTTTCTATATAAATTATATAAATTTCATTTCGTTCGGGGGGGGGGGGGTGGTAAAAAATTTCGGGGGGGGGGGGAAGAAACTCTGGAAAGAACGTGTTCTTTATTTGGCTTATGCTTATATTTAAAAAAAAACGCCCCTTATAGAAAGGCACTTGCCCCGAGTTAGAAATATTTGTATGTAATACTGTGTGTAGACGTTACACGCTTGGTGATTTCTTTAAGTCTAGACAAGGTCTCGTTGTTTTCTTAAATGCATAGGTTTGTTTTGTGCTTGGTTTCCAAAGGACCCATATAACTGGCGTAGAAAGGTGTTTTGCCATAGGAGTAGGGTGGTCACAGGGATTAAGGGGGCCTGATAAACTAAGTAAATTTTTTTATGACATTCAATATTTTGAAAATGTAAACATAAATCTACACGTACGCACCTCCGAACAAAAGCTTGACATATGATAACTTAAATTATGAGACTCCATGGGAATATCTAACCCCACCCACACCCCTATCTACGCCACTGCTCTGTAATTCAGTTTTTCTATGTTGTTCCTTTATTGTATTTTATATTGTATTTTATTTCTCTTATAGGCCTACAGAGAGTTAAAGTTGAACATAGTTTAAATCACTCCGCGTCTAACTGTGACATAGAAGTGTTGCATTTAATAGCTAGAAAATACCAGTAAGTATCTCTTTCTTTTTAAGGATTTTTTTTTCTTGTAATAAAAATTACTTGAAATTAAAAGTTCTATAAGTTTGAGTTTAAAATTAATCTTTTTATTGCCTTATTTTAATAGCTGACACAAGAGATTAGACTTTCTTGTAACCAAGAGCTTACAAACGTGTGGTGAGACACAGTTATGAAATTTTAGTGCTAAACACTACGCTAATCTTTCCGACGTGTACAGTCTAAACTCTGGTCACGTGGTACCCTAAAGATGGCCGCACCTCCAAGTCATTTGGTAAGTTTTATTAATTTAACCTTCTTAAATATAAGTATGAATATTACGATGATACGAGCAAAAGATATACGTATATATATATATATATATATATATATATATATATATATATATATATATATATATATATATATATATATATATATATATATATATGTGTGTGTGTGTGTGTGTGTGTGTGTGTGTGCCCGCGTGTGTGTTTATGTGTGTGCTAATCTGTGCTATGTGGGTGCATGTGTGTTCTTTTGAGTTTTTGAATGTGCACGTGTGTGCTTGTGTGTGTATGTAAATGTGTGTGTGTGCGCGCGAGTGTGTGTGTGATGTGCGTGTCTGTGTGTGTGCGTGTGTTTGTGTGTGTGTGTACGTGTGTGTGTGTGTGTGCGTGTGCGGGTGTGTGTGTGTGTATATGTGTGCTTACTTTGACTCTGTGTTTCTCAAACTGAGGCCCAGATTTCTGATACTGTTCGCTCTCAGACTCCTCGCCCCCCCCCCTCCCTACCTCCCACCTCTCCCTATAAAACCCTCCTGTATGAATGTATTAGCAAGAATGCCAACCAGAGAATGGGTGGTACCATTCAACGTATCAAAGACATTTTGTTATAGCTGTTTGGTCCAGGATCAAGGCTAAGTTGTGATAAAGGCCAGCGCTGTCTATATACAACCGTGTTTTCAAACATTACATTTATATAGAGCGATTCTGTTGAATGTGAGAAATGTGTTGGTACGTCCTAACACATTATGGCGAGACCTACATTGGTCCCATTATGGCGGTATCTGCATTTGGTCCCATTATGGCGAGACCTACATTGGTCCCATTATGGTGAGACCTACACTGGTCTCATTATGGCGAGACCTACATTGGTCCCATTATTGCGAGGCATGCATTTGGTCCCATTATGGCGAGACCTGCATTGGTCCCATTATGGCGAGACCTACATTGTTCCCTTTATGCCGAGACCTACATTGGTCACTTCCGCCATTTACAAAACCATTAATTTTAAAATTATTTACATATCCTAGTCCACCTAGCTCTGATGGGTACCTAACTCATGTTGAGGAAAGCAAAGGCTACCAAAGTGCTGACCACGCCTTTCCTTCACATGCCGTGGTCAAGAAATAAATGAACTCTACATCATCTGCTCAATGAATCGCTATCTCTAAACAGGATTTTTCACATTACTTTTACTAAAAACATTCCCATACATTACTCTAAAACATAATGTTCAAACTACTAACATTTCCGAAGCCAGATTAATTATGTCGTAAAATGTAATTGTCGTTTTCAGAAACTGCTGGACCGAGACATCTACGGTTTCCCTAGCAACAGGAGCATCTGTGACGTAGATGGTCACGTGCTCAACCTCCTACAACTGGACGACAAGCTCGTCTCGCCGTTTGGTGAGCAAAGTTTCAGGAAGGTCAGGGACGTTGCCATGAGGGCGGACGACGTCCTACTTTGTGGCTATCCTAAAACCGGTTAGCCGGCTATTTTAACCTTTCACTTGGATGTAATTATTTGTCGAAAATCATTCAAACAACAAATGTATATGCAGGTTCATAAATAAAGCAATGCATCCCCAGTTTAAGAGGACATTATTCATAAAATCGAAGCAGTGTTGTATTTTTTTTTACTCTTCTGAAGCCTGATAATAGTGATAATATTTTAAACTTTCATTTCGATGCAGTTATTCATTGAAATTTTTTTTTTAAAATACAGAATTTACTCTTGAGAAGCAAATACCATAAAATATTCATGCTGAGTGAAACAAAACTATAGTCATAGTCTTAAATATCGAACATACATCGGTACACTAAACAAATATTTCAAAAACAGACATCACACACGACAAAAACCAATATCTATTTAATATTTTACTATATTATTTATTAATGTATTAGTATTAGCTTAGTCATCATTTAATCAAATGCCAATAAAAAAGCAAACCATATTTACTAGTTCTGGTAATAACATAAAATACTGCTGCCTTTCCACCACCTTGGCTGTCACACCACCACCCCCCCCACCTCACCCACAGGCTGCCACTGGACATGGGAGATACTGCGAATGATGGTCACCAAAAATGCTACAACTTCAAAGATGGGGAAAACCCTGACTTTTCTGGAAATCATCTCCATGCATTTAGTGGAGGAAGTAGAGAGCCCCCGTGTGTTAAACACTCATCTGTGGTACAATTATCTACCTGCACAGGTAAGTTGTGCTACAGGTTTTGACCTGCATAGGTTTGTTGCGATACAGGAGATTACTTTAACGGGTAAGTTGAGCTACAGGTAATTTGAATAGCAGGTGTATAAATGTATATGTGATCTGAGTTACAGGTGTATTTATGTATAGGTAAGTTGAGTTTCATGCGTTTACCTGTATAGGTATGAAATGCTACATGTGTTGACCTGTATAAGTGTGTTTTGATCCAGGTGTTTACCAGTGTTTCTTCCAGACTTTTTTCTCCGGGGGGCACTTGAAATTTTCGGGGGGGGGGGGGGGCGGTAGACTTTCTTCGGGGGGGGGGGGGGTGGCGGACACTGTTAAAAGTATATATTTTCTATATAAATTATATAAATTTCATTTCGTTTGGGGTGGGGGCGGAAAAAATTTTTCGGGGGGGGGGGCAAAGCCCCCCCGAAGAGATGCCTGGAAGAAACTCTGGTGTTTACTTGCACAGGTAAGTTGAGTTACTGATGTTTAGCATTACAGACAAGGTGGGCTACATTTGTACAGGTATGTTGAGCTCTACGGCATTACCTTTATAGGTATTTTTTATACAGGTTTGTAACTGCACGGGTAAGTAGAGCTACAGGTGTTCACCTGCACAGGTATGTTGTTATACAGGTAAACACAACACACTAAGTTTAGATTCTAGTACCTACAAGATTTCACTTCATAGCCTCACAGTTAACTCTGTATTTCCTAATTATATAATTTTTAATCACCTCTCTTATCGTATTCAAAGTAATCTCAATCGTTTCATGATTTAAACAAATATTGAAGGCATCCATATTCGTATCTATTCACCGAACAGGTAGTTCATATTTTATCAAAAGTTTAAGACAAAAACAAAACAGAGTTTTAACAAGACCTTTTCTAATTACATAAAAAATATGAGATTTTTTTATGAAATTATATGATGTTCATTCCAAAATAGCATAACCGTTTGGATAAATTGAGTGTTGGACTTGACACAAGGTAAAACTAAAATCTATTGTTCTTGTCGTGTTTTGTTTCTTCAGCTCTCTGAGATGAAGACAAAGTTGGTTTTAACCGTGAGAAACCCCAAAGACACAGCCGTATCATACTACCATCATCACAAAGCGGTGTTTCAATACAAGGGGGCGTTTCCTAGTTGGTTTTTGTTGTTCATGGATGGTCTGGGTAAGTAGACAGTTTGTTAGATGTGGAAATTAACCTTCATTTTTTTCTGTGGACGTTCTGGGTAAGTAGATAGTTTGCATATGATGAAATCTACAATCTAGTTTCTTACTGCAATACAATCGGTTATCGGTTATTCAAGGAAATCGTGGTTTCCTGAATGTCACGATTTCAGTAACGGAACAGATTACCTGTTTTTCGATGCAAGGGGACTCTTTCGTACCATAGTTTCCAGGCGGTTAATTTTTGTTTTGTTTTTAGTTGTTTTGTTTTTTTTTCCTTTCAGAAATGTATTATTTTGGACAGTAAATTATTTTAAACTCTGAAACTGGGAATTATCAATAGTGTCGATGACAATGTTAACTTCAATGAATCCACAGTCGACTATGGATCGTACTTCGATTATTATTTTGATTGGGACCACGTGATCAAAACCAACCCAGACCATCCCATACTGCTGGTGTCTTATGAGGACATGAAGGAGGTAAACTATGAGTATGGGAGTTGAGTGATTCACATGCAATGTCAAGGTCACAGTGGGTCTTTGATTTTATTAAACCTGACAAATTGTTATATGATTCATTCAGCACGAGTTATTGTTAGAAGTCTCTATATAGATAACTTATTGCAAAGAGATTTAAAACACATGAATTCATAAAATTCAGAACATACGTAACTAACAAAATGTAAAAAAATTAATCAATATGTGTGCACATTTAAAAAAAAATTATTTCAGGATCTACCAAGGGAGATAAGAAAGATGGCCAGTTTTCTAGAGTTGTCCTTCGATGATAAGTTGATTAACGACATCGCCGAGGCAGCCGGCTTTGAAGCGATGAAACAATCTTACTCTCAATCCAACACGTTCTCTAGCGCCTTGCTTCGTAAAGGTAATAATAATGTAACTTTTGGTTTCTCGTTTACGTAAGGGGAAATTATCATTCTGGAAAATATATGTAAAATGTACGCCTATTTTATAGACGGATGTTAAAGATACTAAAGGGGGGTTGGGGGACTGGGGATCGTTTAGCTCATAAAAAGAAATTGAGAAATCAAGATGAGTTTATCATGCGTGGTGGAGTGGTGGAGCGCTTGACAGCTAGCCCGAAGGTCTCGAGTTCGGATCTCGGTTAGGACTTTGTGACTGCAGGACGTCCCTGAGTCCACCCAGCTCTGGTGAGCATCTAACTCACATTAGTCAAAGTAAAGGTGGCTGGGCATAATACTAACTACACTATATCTTCATATGCCGAGGTTTATAAACATGTGAAATCTACTTCATCTGCCTTACGAATCGCTAAGTCTGAAAAGGGTAACATTCTCTGCTCAGGAAATGTAGACTTATCGAATGCTAACATACATTATACTTATTAATAATCCTTATGATATTTGATGTACAAGTTTATCTTCTTAAGTTGAATTTTACTTTTCTATATCTATGGGCGGGTCACTGAACGGACATGAACCCCAATATATATTATCTAGTCATCTTTCTGGTTGACTTATTCAGATATGATCAATGACTCGCTACTCTGGTGGCCAAATTATATTGTCTTAAACAATCACAGAAGGGATGTTGTTAAAACTGTCTTTTTTTTGTATCATCACAGGGCAAGTAGGCGATTGGAAAAACTGTCTAACTGTGGCCCAAAGCGAGGCTGTGGACGAGAAGATGAACAAGTTGGACGGGACACGTTTCACGACACAACGTTACGAGTTATAATAAAAGACAAAACAGCTTTGGTAGTTTTGTTTTGTTTTTAAATCCTAAACATTTTTTGTACATCCCGTGTGTATTTATCTTTGCTTAAAGTCTTTTCCTGACATACAAGACTGACATAAAAATAACAAATAAGTGGTTGTTTATCTAACATATTACACAAACATCACCTGGATGGAAGACGAGTCGACTCAACACGGTGTAAATAAAGTTTAGAAAACTGATTGTGCTGAGTTTGAATATTTGGTTGAACATCATGTGAAAAGCATATGTGTATGCTAATGTTCGTGTGTCTCAATGCGTAAGTATGTCTGTTAATGTATATCATTAACTGTATTGCTCATTTGACAATTTGACAAGTGTGTCTATTTTCTGTGTACGTGTTTGCGTTAATCTGTTGGGTGTTTCATATATATTTTATGTATTTATATATCTATACTTATTTTGTTTATTTTTTATTTAAATATGTGTTTACGTATTAATGTTCAAGAGTTTCTCTCATTGTGTATGTATGTATGTATGATTATCAATATATCCGGATGTCTGTCAAATGTGTATGTTAAAATAATTGCAGACCCAACAACCCATTTTTCTTCATTTGATCTTAATTAATTTTCACAAGTACCAAATATCTTACTTTACGCTCTCTGTTGAAATGTATATTAATTTATTTATTTTGATCTACAATTATTAACTAATGTTAAAGTTTTATGTCACTATCAAACAATTATTTAACAAACTTTAATAATAAATGACTAATACATTAACAGATTTTCTAATACTTTATGGAAAAAATGCATTCGCTTCTCAATAGTTTTGAAATCTATTTAAATTCGGTGTCTTTTGAATTAAGTTGTTGAAGTTTCACCGACCTAAATATAGGTCTAACCATATTTTTATTTCGAAGTGAAACAAGGTCAAAGATTAAAAGTTATTAAATTTATTTTTATCAGAAACTATTTTCAACAATAATATCCTCGTTGTTTATAAATCAAACAGACTTTTTTTTATGTAAATAGCAATGTAAATATTGTTTGCTAGTGAGGATCTTCAATATAGGTGTTGATCTAGATCTAATTATAGTGGCCTGGAAAAATACGTTTCCAGTTAGAATTTACATAATCCGAATACAACAGGCAGGCGATTAATAAGGTCGTTTGTGATTGCGTAGAAGAGCTTGTGACTTGCGCGTTGATTTTTTTTGTCCTTGAGTTGTTCTAATTTAAGATTACTGTAAACACCAGTTTATAAGAATACAGGTGGCTTCTCAGAATTCTTTCACTTTCGATTGTGTGACTTACATTTTTATATAAGAACATTTTATATCCTGTTTGAGGTTTTGTATATAAGGCGCCTTCTCGGCCATTAAGCGTAGAACTGGGAATTCATTCACCCGAAATCTAAACACGAGTTACCATAGTTACCAGCATGGGTATCTTCACGTACCTGGCTCTGACGGTTTCCATGGCAACGATGTACGCCGGCGGCGCCTTCACCAACGACTGGGACAAGCCGTTCGACTACAGGTGCCCCCTGAGTCAGACCATCAGCTACATCTACAGTGAGCACAACAACTTCTTCGAGGACCGGAAGTGGGAGTTTTATTGCCGCTCTGTGGGTGAGACAGCAGATTGTGAGCAAAGTGGTGAGTACTGTCAGCCGTGTTTTACCTGGTTATATAGTGGTGTGTTATGTTAGCCATGTTTTACCTGGTTATATAGTGGTGAGTTATGTTTGTTTCACCTGGTTATATAGTGGTGAGTTATGTTAGTTTTACTTGGTTATATAGTGGTGAGTTATGTTTGTTTTACCTGGTTATATAGTGGTGAGTTATGTTTGTTTTAGCTGGTTGTATAGTGGAGAGTTATTTTAGTTTTACCTGGTTATATAGTGGTGAGTTATGTTTGTTTTACCTGGTTATATAGCGGTGAGTTATGTTTGTTTTACCTGGTTATATAGCGATGAGTTATGTTTGTTTTACCTGGTTATATAGTGGTGAGTTATGTTTTACCTGGTTATATAGTGGTGAGTTATGTTTATTTTACCTGGTTATATAGTGGTGAGTTATGTTTGTTTTACCTGGTTATATAGTGGTGAGTTATGTTTGCCATGTTTGACCTTGTTATATAGTGGTGAGTTATGTTTGTTTTACCTGGTTATATAGTGGTGAGTTATGTTTGTTTTACCTGGTTATATAGTGGTGTGTTATGTTTGTTTTAGCTGGTTGTATAGTGGTGAGTTATGTTACAGCTGGTTATATAGTGGTGAGTTATGTTTGTTTTACCTGGTTATAAAGTGGTGAGTTATGTTTGTTTTACCTGGTTATATAGTGGTGAGTTATGTTACAGCTGGTTATATAGTGGTGAGTTATGTTTGTTTTACCTGGTTATAAAGTGGTGAGTTATGTTTTACATGGTTATATAGTGGTGAGTTATGATTGTTTTACCTGGTTATATAGTGGTGAGTTATGTTTGTTTTACCAGGTTATATAGTGGTGAGTTATGTTTGTTTTACCTGGTTATATAGTGGTGTGTTATGTTTGTTTTACCTGGTTATATAATGGTGAGTTATGTTTGTTTTACCTGGTTATATAGTGGTGAGTTATGTTTTATTTGGTTATATAGTGGTGAGTTATGTTTCAGCTGGTTATATAGTGGTGAGTTATGTCAGCCATGTTTTACCTGGTTATATAGTGGTGTGTTATGTTTGTTTTACATGGTTATATAGTGGTGATTTATGTTTGTTTTACCTGGTTATATAGTGGTGAGTTATGTTTGTTTTACCAGGTTATATAGTGGTGAGTTATGTTTGTTTTACCTGGTTATATAGTGGTGAGTTATGTTTGTTTTACCTGGTTATATAGTGGTGAGTTATGTTTGTTTTACCTGGTTATATAGTGGTGAGTTATGTTTGTTTTACCTGGTTATATAGCGGTGAGTTATGTTTGTTTTACCTGGTTATATAGTGGTGAGTTATGTTTTACCTGGTTATATAGTGGTGAGTTATGTTTGTTTTACCTGGTTGTATAGTGGTGAGTTATGTTTTAGCTGGTTATATAGTGGTGAGATATATTATTCTTGTTTCACCTTGATATATTGTGTATCCTGGACAATTTTTCGTTACATTTTCCCTTCAGCGCCTAATACACATGAATCCATCCCTTAAAACCTATTTCATCCAATAGATTATATTGATCGTTAACACCGTGGTTGCTAGTCCCACAATATTATCCGTTTTTTTCCCAGTTTTTTCTCGACAGTATTTCTCAATATTTTCCTAGTTCTTCCATTGTTTTTTTTTCCTTACTGTTGTAAAAGTGCTCTAGCAGGAATTTCTTCATGCTGCATCATAAGTATGTGGCCAACCTAACGCCATCTTCTTTTCTCAGTTACTTCAGAATTTATTTTTTACTTGAATTTTTTTTTAAATTAACTATTGTTTAGACTTGTCTTATAATGTTGTCTTATAAAACAAACTCCTGTAAGCAGGTGACTATCACGACTGTGCCTGATCTGTCAGCGCCGATGATGGGTTTGGAGTAAAGATTAAAGCCATTACGAGGCTAGAATCAACTCTACGCTTAACGCTATGCTCATTAATACAATCAGAGTTATTATGAGTATTTTTGTACGATAAATATAGTGTTGGAGAGAATTTCTTCCAACACTTAAATTAAGAACTCAGAATAAGAAGAAGAAAAAATCATATTTTTTACTATTGCGACTGCATAATATTACATGTTTATCTCAATGGTTATTCAATATTTATGTGAATGTCTACGTGTCTCCCCTTTTTTTTTGGTTGGATATACTTCTTCTTCTTTGTTCTTAATTTTAGTGTTTGAATGTATCTTTATACTACAATTAAGTATACGTGTCAACTGCTTATGCGCTATTGAGGCCATTGCTTAAGTGTATATTTTTTCCTTTATTTCCTAAATAAATGAAACCTTACTATGACCCTATACTGCAGATTATTACTAATGACGATAAATAATTAATTAACCCCAGGCTATGTAAACCAGTTTGACCAGCTGCTACACTATGTGTGTCCACGTGACAAGTTCATCACTGGCATCGCGAGTTACCATGACAACCACTACGAAGACCGCAGGTTCCAATTCCAGTGCTGCAGGGCCACCGGCAGAAACCTGACCGGATGTTTCATGACAGGTGACGCGAACACCTGGGACCAGAAACTGACATTTATGGTCCCCGTGGGTATGGTGATAAACGGCGCCTACAGCACACACAACAATTATTACGAGGACAGGATATGGAGGTTCCAGATTTGCTACGTGTAAAACTTTTTTTTTTTTTTGTAAATGAAATAATGTTTATTTGGTGTTTTATAAAGTCATTCGTGTAAAACTTCATTAAAACTTTGTTTTATATGTATTTTAATGGAATATTATCTACTTCGATCAACTTTTAAGTTTAATAATTTGACACTTTTTCTTTCGGTGTGTATTGTACAATATATTAAACAATGAAATGTTAATCAAATATATATTTTTATATTCATCGAAACAACTGTGTTGTATATTTTGACTTATAGTATCTTTTTTTTTCTTTAACTTGCATGTCGATTAGCCCTATCCACATAATCGGATTTTTAATTACAATAAAAAAATAAGAGAATATATTTTAGTTATTTCCCTTTATTCTTTTGCCTTTCATTAAATAAGTTACGGGAACGGGAGAGGGGTGATCACTTATTTCTGTTACATTTAAAGTCAAGTAATAAATAACCCTAATCTTATACTAAACTAACAGCCTCAGCTAGATATCACTACAACACAAACATTAATATGATCCTACACTAAAACGTTAATCCTAAACATAACCATGAAATGAAAATTACTGTGAAATAATTTTTGACGTGTACGAAATACTCAGTCAACCTACAGATTGTGCGCAATGTTAAATGATTCGATTGAAAATTGTTTTTATACGGCCCAATTTAAAAATTAAAGGAATAATGAAAACTGGAAGGGTACAAAACAGAAGAAAAAAAAAATAAACTTAGAAATATTTCTGATAAATTTTACAAAAACTTCCAAGTCCTACTGTTACACAAAAACTTGAAACTGAATCAAATAGGCAGGTTATGCTTACACGGATATGCTGATTTAGAAATAAACTGCGTGTGTTTTATTTACCCCATGAGTTTATTTATGCAACAGGATGTGAATTTCATTAACAACATTTTCTCAGCCCTTTATAAGTGTATTAAAGTATCAAGTTGGAATCAATAGTCACAGGGGCCCCCATTTATTTAGCGTAAGGGGCCTGAGTGAAGTTTAAACATAAGCTGGATGCAGGCATGTTGACCAGGGGGCCAGGGGGCCCTGAGTAAAGTAAAAATATAGACTGGATACAGGCATGCTGACAAATCACGTGAACTCGATATACAACGTTTATCTACCTTATTATGTTATAAGAAAAATTATGTCGGGGTTGAATGTAATGGAGACAGTGACACACATAGACGTTTTATCTGGAAATTCATGATGGACATGGCGGGGGGAGGAAGTTAATTTATAAGGATTACTTTATAAAAACTTGTCGTCATTTCATTTTGGTTAGGACACGAGTGAGTTCCAAACTGAAGATATTTTGGTAACGAATTTCATTTTTAGGATTCTTACAATAACAATAGCATTCATTACAAACTGATAACAGTCGAGTAATCTACACACACACAAACACACACACACACACAAACACACACACATAGACACACACACACAGACACACACACACACACACAGACACACACACACGCACACGCACACGAACACACACATACACACTCACACACACACACACACACACACACACACGAGAAGAAAAAAATGTGATTCAAAAACATAGTGACGATTTCTTCTCTAAAATAACCATGTAAAAACGATTTTACAATATATTTTAAACAAGCTTTGTGTTTGTGTCAAGGGGGGGGGGAGACCAAAGGAGAAACCACCATATTTAATAGGTGGAAATGACATTTCAAACGTAATAAGTTACAATAAACTAAAAACGTCAATAATATGCAAATGCAAATCTCGTGTGTGCGGTATGATAATTAAACGAGAATTTTCATTTCATGTTATTGTTTTTTTTTCTGCTACCACGGCTGATAATGTTAACCCTAATATCAGTTTCAGTAGTTAAACATAAAACAACACGGTAGTAACTCCGACTTGTAGCTATGTTTACATCCAACACTGACGATGGTATGGGTTGTGTGTCAACAATCTACCTTCATAGCTTCGTCAAATTTCTTTGTTAAGAATAAAAGCACGTTGTGATAAATGTTTGTTATAAATTAAAAGCAGGTTGCTGAACAACCTGAAACCAAAGCTAACAACAGGTAAAGCTAACTAAAAGTAGTACGATTGGTTTATGATTGACGAACTTGGGTCGATGGGGCACTACCATGTTTACTGATATCACAGCAACCAATCAGAATATTTGTTGTTGTCTTGTGACCTGGTATGACCCTTATTTACTTAAACGTAGACAATTTTTGAAAAAAAGGGTGTGGCTAATGTTATACCGAAGGCGATTGATTTTTTTAATATTAAAAATGTAATAATCATGATACACATGAATGAGTGTTTCGTATTTTATCTAACCTTAACCACAATATTAAACCTACCTTTAAACTCTTCCCTCCCTCCACCCCCACCCCTTAATATTTTTATCGACAGGATAAAACAACTGCAATTTTTTTATGTGCAACTTCTTAATATTCAGTCACGATAAAAAAAAATATTGTCGATCTAAACAAAAACTCTTTTAAACTACAAAGCAATACGGGAACAGATTAAGGCGAAAAGATAAAATGTAATACATTTATGTTTTGTTCACAGTGTCTGTTTGTTTGCTTGTTTGTGGGTTGTGGCAAATCTTGTAACTCAACTTTGACCCACATTTTATGAAGCGATTTCAAATTGTTCAGATACGTACAAAAAGATTTTCGAGAGTGGTTGGAGGTATGGTCTATATTTTACTGCGACGAATACATTTATTTTATTTGTAACAAATATAAAAGAAAATAATGTTTAAATTATATTATTCTTTTTTAAAATAATATTCGACACATTAAAAAAACGTTGACATTCTCTATGTGTAGAGAATGAAATAAAAAAGGTGGAAAAATGTATCAGCCCCCAGTGAGGATTGAACTCACGACCCCTGGTTTACAAGACCAGTGCTCTTGTCACTGAGCTATGGAGGCTTACCGTTAGACCTGATTCAATTTCTTAATTTAACTCATTTAACTGTATTCGGTAAAACACATCCTATGCTAATTTATATAAAAAAAAATATTTTCCTAATGGGTTAGCCCTGTCTGCGAGAGGTGTTATCTATCTTGTAAAAATATCAAATCATTGGTTTATTTTAAAATAATGTTAACACGCATCGAATATTGAACCATGATTTGTTCCTGACACTGACACTGGCAAAAGCACCCATGCTAGAAGATCAATATGAGTTTAGTCGTGGGTTTGTACGGGAGGATACTGAAGTAACACCATGCTGCAATAAATTTTTGTCACAATCATTAAAAATGTAGGCCAATATATAAGGTATTTCTATGATGTTTATACTAATTTAACTTTCAATTTAAGTGCGTGTTAATGTAATTATTAAAACGTATTATGTCAATGTGCTTAAGTCGTACCAGTGAGATGTGCGGACGAGCTGAGATAGCATAAGGAAAGGTAAAATACAAGATGAGGTACCACTGGAGCTGAGGTATCAAACGGTTTTGTAACACAGCCACTGAGGTAAAACATCGGATGAGGTATCATATAGCGAAGCATATCAGGATGGCACATCACAGGCAGTTCACATCATGATGTTAGACAGGCAGACCACATCATGATGTTAGACAGGCAGACCACATCATGATGTTAGACAGGCAGACCACATCATGATGTTAGACAGGCAGAGCACATCATGATGTTAGACAGGCAGACCACATCATGAGACAGGCAGACCACATCAAGATTTCAGCCAGGCACATCAATTTTTTTTTATTGTGGTTCAAATTTTACAAACCTACAATGTAAGCATGAATGTAAGCATGTTTATTATTTTTTCGGCATAAAACGAGGTCAAAGAGCACACGCATAATTAAAACTAATTTAAATTATTTAAAATCCAAAACATTTATCCTTGTCGTCTAAAAATTTTATTTGCTTTTTTTTTTCTTATTAAAAATAGCAATGTAAAATTTGCAACGTGAATCTTCAAGAAAGATGCAAATTTAGTCTAGAAGACACTTTTCCAGTCAGAATTTGCATAATGTGAAAACAACAAGGAGAAAACGAAGGGCGTTTACGATAGCGCCGCATGATACATGACAGTCGCGTTAGCTTTTTTTTCCGAGTTTTATTCTAATTTACAACCGAACCAAACAAAAAATGTACTCGTAAATTTTCATTTTTATGTAGGTAAGCGCTTATAAATCCAGTTTGAGTTTCTTGCGTGTAAGTCGTCTTCACCGTCTCGAAGCGGAGAATTGGAAATTCATTCACCTGAAATTTTTACAAGTAACCATAGTTACCAGCATGCTTATCTTCGCGTACCTGTCTCTGGCGGTTTCCATGGCAACGGTGTCGGCCAGAGGCTCTGTGGTCAACGGTTGGGACCAGCCGTTTGACTTCAAGTGTCCGCCCGGTCACGCCATCAGCTACATCTCCAGCGAGCACAACAACTACTTCGAGGACCGGCAGTGGGAGTTCCATTGCCGCTCTGTGTGGGAGACCAGTGCTTGTGAGCAAAGTGGTGAGTTATGTCAGACATGTTTCATTTGATTGCATTTTGTGGACTGGGCGATTTAATTCTGGGTGGGACGGAGTGGTCTAGCGGTAGAGAGATGGACTGCTAACCCGTAAGTCTCGAGTTCAAATCCGGGCTCAAGTCAGTAGACCCTCCCTGAGTCCACCCAACTCTGATGGGTACCTAACTCACGTTAGGGAAAGTGAATGCATTTCTTTCTTGTTAATAAATGCCGGACAATTTAATCATCTTCCTTTTATGTCATAATAAGAAAATACCGTAAGTGATTTGATAAAATACGGAAGTGGTATGGAAAGAAAGCGTGGTGTATGGAAGTAAAATAAAGGGGGGGGGGGGGGTGGGACATTGTGAGTGGTTTGTGTGAAGTAATGCAGCCGATGGGCCATTTACAAATGTAAGTCCGCGTTTTTTATTATATGGACAGCTGAATAGAATATTAACGATAAAAAATATATCAATATATATTAGGGGTTATTCATTTAATTAAGAATTCCACATGGAAGAGAGAAGTAGCTTCGAACAAATCGACTTTTGTAGATGCATGTGAACAGAGTAGAGGGGGTCTAAAATATTGATATTTAAACAGCTTTTTTTAGCAGTGCGTGTGAGTGAAGAGTGGGTTCAATACTAATGGGTCGGTTCAGTGGGAGATTAGCTAATATTGTTATAATGCAGACCGTTTTCCAAAGGAAAACGGTGTCGTCTAGTTGTATTTTAAAAATGTAAGTATTTCAAAAAAAACAATTGCGCTTTAAGTAACCACGCTTACTGTTATATCAGGGCATACGAGAAAAATGAGGGGAGATTTATATTATATTATTTCACAATATATTTTGTTTCTTGCATTATTATCAGCGTGTTTTAAATATTGCTACTCATGACAGTGTGTACTAATAAATTCCAGGGTATGTGAACGATTTCGACCAACCGATAAACTACGTGTGTCCACATAACAAGGTGATGACTGGTGTCGCTAGTTACCATAGCAACCATCACGAAGACCGCCGGTTCAAATTCCAGTGCTGCAGCGTCAACGGCAAAAGTCTGAACGGATGTTACAAAACGGGTGAAGTCAACACCTGGGACGGGAAACTGACCCTTCTAGTCCCCGAGGGTAAGGTGGTAAATGGGGCGTACAGCACCCACAACAATTACTACGAGGACAGGATTTGGAGATTCAACATTTGCAGCATTTGAAACTTCGTTAAAATATATATTTTAATTGCCTTCGATATATTTCGATCAACACTCCTTTTTCAATAAAATGTTGTATCTCTTATATTTTAATTGCCTTCGATATATTTCGATCAACACTCCTTTTTCAATAAAATGTTGTATCTCTTATATTTTAATTGTCTACGATATATTTCGATCAACACTCCTTTTTCAATGCTAGTTGATTAAAAAAAAATTCTTTCGTTGTGAATTGCATTATTTTGTTGAACTATAAAATGTAACTAAAATTCTATTTTGATGATTATACTAAAAAGGAAAAGCAATCATTTGACATTGATAACAGTCATCTATATATCTATCTATATATATAATTCTCCTCTTCGAGCCGTTAGAAAACAAGCTGCAAACGCTCTCCCTACCTCCCCACCCCTACATGGTTTTAGTGAGCTGTGTTCACTCTAAATGTTTACAAGCAGAGCCAACGATTTTAAACGTAGGGGGGGGAGGGGGGGGGGAAGGAAGGGGGGGGGGGGTTATGGTCCTTAACGAGCTACTTATAGTGTTTTAAAGAAATATTTTCAGTGTCAGCGTTGGTACTGTCGAATTCACAAATTATGAATTATTGAAAATTAGAAACAACTAAATAGCGGCGTATGTTATGCCGCGGGCCGGCTCGTATATATATAATTCTCTTCTGGGATCCGTTAGAAAACAAGCTGCAAGCGCGCCTTACAGTCCCCTCTCTTCCTCTCTATCGCTACCATCCCCCACCCCCACCCCCTCACATGGACTGGTGAGCTGTGGTTCACGCTGTTTACATTTTACAATCATAGAGACGGGTTTGGTGACGGCTATTAGGGGCAGATAATTTAGTTTGAAACGATTTTAAACTTAGAGGAGGTAACTAAGAGATGGCTGCTTTCACGTGGGGGGGGGGGGGGGGAAGGGGGGTTTAGCATTGGTACTGTCGAATTCACAAATTATAAATTACTGAAAAGTAGAAAAAAAAACTAAATAGCGGCGTATGATACGCAGCGGGTCGGCTCGTAAAAAATAAAACAAGAAACTGGCTCCCACTTGTCACTTTGGTTAATACACTACTAACAAGGGCATGAGTTTTACAATGACAGTCTACTGTCATTGTCAATTTTCTTTGCTAAACATACAATAAACGAGATAAGTGGCCAGTTGAAGGAGAAATACAACGGGCGCTATTGTCTCTAAACCGAAACCAGAACCAAAATCACCACCTCAACTTCAAATTTAACGGGAAACGAACAATGTCTATGAATACGGATTTTTATCCAGAATCGACATTGTAACCGGATTTAATCTTGATCTACACGTTGTTACCTCACAATGTAGTCATACCCATAAACCTTGCACATAAGCTCAAACTTGACAAAAGTTGCATTTAGAGTCTCTTTCCGGGGGTTTTGGTGGGGCTAGGCGGAAGAGCTCCCCTCCCTCACCTTTAAGTGCGTCGACCGTCTCCTATTATGAAATAGAATTTATATAGAAAATATACTTTTACCATTGTCCGTCCCGCTACCCCTAAAACACTGGTCACATTTGTAGATCATAAAGACTAAAGGTAGAGCCTACTTCTATAATAGAGACCCGTTTCCTACTTTTGGCCGATAAACCTCACTCACGCAGTGTTTCTTTCAGACTTTGTTTCTCCGGGGCAGGGGGCACTATACATTGGGATGGGGGTGCGGATTATATTATTCTGGGGGGGGGGGGGGGGGAGCTGACACTGACACTAGTAAAAAAATATATTTTCTATAGTAGTTGTATTTCGTTTGGAGAGGTGGGTGTTAGACGTTATACCGTGGGCAGGGCGGAGGCTTCGTTCCGACACGAAGAGATACATAAAAGAAACTCTGTGCGCAAAACACTTTTAGATTAGACAAATGGCTTTTTAATTGTATGTTTACTCGAGAAAATATGACGTCATATTATTGTGTGAACTTTCCCGGCTTAAGAGTATTTCCTACTATAAGTTCCATGTGACGTCACGATTCATTTTTCGTATTACTATGAATGTTTTTACTTTGCTTGTGTTTTCTCTATAGTAAAAACGTTCCCAACATATAGATAGAATGACAGACAGCGAAACTATCATTTTAGATAGATTGAAGATATAGTGATAAAGTGTACTAGCTGCATACTAGCTGCTCCGCAACGGTTAAGTGCCAACTTGGGAACAGAACAAAACTAAACACAAATAGAGCAAAAACACAGCACAAACTCAACACAAACACAACACAAACACAAACACAAACACAACACAACACAACACAACACAAACACAACACAAACACAACACAAACACAACACAAACACAGCACAAACACAACACAAACACAACACAAACACAACATAAACACAACACAAACACAACACAACACAAACACAACACAAACACAACACAAACACAACACAAACACAACACAAACACAACACAAACACAACACACACAACACAAACACAACATAACATAACACAAACAAAAACAAAAACACAAACACAAACACAAACACAAATACAAATACAAATACAAATACAAACACAAACACAACACAAACACAACACAAACACAGCACAAACACAACACAAACACAATACAAACACAACATAAAAACAACACAAACTCAAAATAAACACAACACAAACACCACACAACACAGTTTAAAAGAAATGCATGAACGACGTCTACCTTTATGGTTCCAAAATCTACAATATAGCGATGACTGACAGACACACAACCTGGACGCTTATATATTATAGAAAGGCTCCTACTTTTTAAAATAAAAGCTTACAAGTAAACAACCAAAAAACAAACGGATTGCTAAAACTTTAAATAGACGAGCAGGACTGTTTGTTTAGTTTGTGAATGGCGAATCTCGGTGTACCAGTGGTGTGAGTGGATGGTAATGTAATTGGGTCACTAGGGCACTACCAGGTTTACGGGCATGACAGTAACCAATCAGAAAGCTTGTTTCTGTGTTGTGATCTGTCATGACCCTTGTTTTACTCTGATGTAAACAACGTAGGAAAATAAGTATGTGGTTAACGTTATGATAAAACTTAATCCAGTGATGTGACTTTTTTATCAACAACAACACCTGGTTAAATACTCTAAAAACTTAACCGACGCACCTCTTCTTTTAAGGTGCATCAATTTTAGGAATAAATAATCAAGCTAATTGTATCACCTCCTGAGTTCACACTCTTCCCCTTGTATTGAAATTAACTACCTAACCAGTTGTATCACTACTAACTCTCTGTTAGACATTTCTTTTGCTTACAATCTGATGACTCATGCAGTATCTTACATAAACTCACACAACACATCCGTTTATTTTTAGCCCTGTGCAATTAACTTTTTTACGCATTACACCAACCATGGTTCAGGGGATCCGGACAAAAGGCCAACACGGACAAAAGGCCGACATGGACAAAAGGCCAACAAGACAAAGGCCGACTAGACAAAAGGCCGACTAGACAAAAGGCCGACAGGGTGATCTTTTTCGACGATTACCTGCCACCTCCTGTGCCATCACTCAACCATGTTTTGGGTCCTAGGAATCCCATGTACATGATTGTCATATACAGACCAGAACTCTGGTGGGAAAAGCGTTGGAACCCTCACCTCTCTTGTGTTTAACAACCTCACTCGACCACAAACGTCGGTCTCATCCAACCACTTCACTAACTCAGCTGTGTTTGGTGGGAAAATGTTTTTTTAATTCATTAAATGCTGCCGGAATCTCTGCACTTGGAAGAAATGCCAGTGCTGCTATTTGCCGCATCAGCAGGCAGAACTGTAGATCCTGACCATAAAGAAGTGCCAAGCCTAACGCTTGTAGCTTTCGTTATATATTTTGGCTAAAAATTTTAAAAAAACACACTTTACTTGTAGCTGTTGTGTGCATTAATTAAAGCTTTCTCAAAGTCAGTGACAATAAACCGTGGAGATAAGTTTATGTGCATCTTTTAAGCGATATCTGCGAGGTCCTGAAATGCTCTTGTATACATAGTCTCGGTTGAAGAACCCTTACCTCAGAGGCGTAGCGAGGGGGGCGGGGGTGCGGACCGTACTGGGTGACACCATTTAGGGGGGGGGGGGGGGTGACACCAAGGCAAAAAAAAAGTAAAATATATGGAGAAAAATTTGAGGGGGGATGCAAATCGAAAGTTTGAGGGAAGGGGTGCAAATCGAAAGTTCGAGGGGGGTGCAAATCGAAAATTGAAAGTTTGTCACTGGGAAGTTTCGCTACGCCTCTGAGGGGGTGACACCATTAAGTGCCGCACCGAGTGACACCCGACCTCGCTACGCCACTGCCTTACCTAACCAGTTGTATCGCTACTCTTTCTCTATTAGCCATTTGTTTTGTTTACAATCTGCTGAATCATGCAATATCCAACATTAACTCACACAACACATCTGTTTATTTATAGACTCACGCACTCAACCTTATACGCATTACACCAACCACGATTCAGGATATCCTTGACAAAGGTTTATCCCTTAGTTTTAGAATCGTATAAAACTAGCTCTACTCAGTTAGCGAAATAAGAAACCAGATTTTTACCAACATTTTGTTCTTAAGTCGATTCATATCCAGATCTATTAGTTGTTAAATAAATTAATGACAATGTCCATTACACTGAGTGCGTTACTGGTCGTTGCTATAGTAACCGTGGAGACATTCGCCTACGTCAACGACTGGGACCAGCCGTTTGATTTCAGATGTCCGTCTGGTCAGGCCATCAGCTACATCTCTAGTATCCATAGCAACCGTCACGAGGACAGGAGGTGGGAGTTTTTGTGTCGGAGTGTGGGAGCGACACACTCTTGTGAAGACAGCGGTAAGAAATAATTAGCTCTAAATTATCTAATTGCTAATTAAAACGTTAATTTAGGTAATTAATTTGGAAACGTAGTTACGACAACAGTTTTTAATGCTAGAGCTTTAATTTAAGCCCATTTACTTTTCAAGCCATTTAAATGCATGTTAATTAAAAACGTAAAAACACAAGAGCACGAGACTTTCCAGCACCCAAATTATACCTCAATTAAGCGAATTGTAGATTTGTATAGGAAACATTCCTAATGTGTATTCAGAGCCATTCATTAAAGTCTGTCATACCGCTTATCATCATAATGTTCTGTTTCTTCATCAAAGCGATTCATATTTCGGTAGATAATAGATGTTAAAATCTAACTGTAACAATTTTGAC